TACAGCGCCAAACTAATTGTAGATTTCTGTGGAGACAGCTGCATTTGGCTACTCTTCCCGAAAAACATAAAAAGGCAGGTCGGTATTTGGTGGATGGTGCTCGAAAAGCTGTCGTCGTCGCTGACATCGTCGTCTACCTTCATCAATCAATTAGAGGTGCTTGCTTACCTTCGAGTGCATCGGTGTTTCATAGCGAATTGGACAATTAGGGTTCAGCCATATATATATTTCTCTTCGTAGCAATCCTCTTTCATAGCTGAATTCTACTCGGTATACTCCGTGCAACCCAATGACTGTTATAAATCATGAGGGGCGTGAGAATAAAGTGCGGTAATAAAGGTATGAATGAGGAGAGGTAAGATGGTGGTGGTCAGAGAAATGCAGTCATACAGAGAGCGCCGATTTTCAGAAGCACTCTTATGTATCTATTTGCATATTAGATTAACATCAAGAGTATTTTCGGTACCGGACATATGCAATGAAGAAGCTCCGCGAGTCGCTTCGCATCTTCATTAAAAGGAGTACTTCGTAATTCTACAGTGCTATCTCGCTTCTCGTTATTCAATATGATCAGATAATGGATAACTGAATAGTTGTACATGTTGACTTATTAGATTTTTCCGAGCCAAGTAGGTCATGAACCAATTCATAGGCTGTTAATGTTCTGTTTACGGAGTAGTTGGATCGTATGTAGTAAGCCGCCCAAACTGCCGGTTCCTGGAATTCCCCTTCCCCGTATCTTCTTGTCTGGCACGAGATACACCACTTCGTATATGAGAAAATCATAGCTGGCTCTAGAGACGGGAGTCAGAATCAATCTAATTGTAACTAAAGAAAGAATCGCTTTCTTTGTTCCTCTGATCACTCACTAAAGCAATTCTTCAAGAATGAAAAGGATAACCGAGCTATTTTTATAGAGAATCTTGCATGAGTGATTTCTATTTCCATTTCTATGGAGAAAGGATATTATTGATGCTTGTACTGTAGACAATTATAATTCGTAGTACAAAACCATAAACTTACCTGCCCATGTAAATATCAATCCAGATAATCCTATTGGTTGACCTCCTTGTCCCAATCCAGAAACTCTGAGAGAGACGATGAACCCCGCCAAGCTTTTTAGCGCGCGCGAATTTGGCAGGTACCATAGCACAGTCAGCAAATGGTAGTGAGCGAGCCATGAAGTAAGGGAAAAAAATAATTTCCTCTAATTTTTTCAAAACATCAAAAACGACGTGGACCACCCAAAATGCCTTCCAAAAAATCCATACAAGGATTCAAGAACGTCGATCGAGTTTCAATTGAAGCGCCCGGGTTATCTCCACAGTCAAATCACAATTCCTCATCCGATGACGAACAAGATGAGCAGGATGACATTTCGCAATCCGATTCAGATTCAGATTCAGATTCTTTAGACAGTCAAGCTTCACGGAAACGGCGTAAAACATCCCCCCAGGAGCCAACGCAAAAGATATCCCCTTGATTGCTACCACATCTGTTCCTTCGCGGTGAAGGTTAAATCGCAAAAAAATTCTCTCGATGCCAAAAATGTTAGCAATGGCGCAATATTGGCTCCTACAGATGCGCAAACCACTTTTGCTGCCTTGGATGTGAAGCCATGGTTGGTGGGATCGCTGGGATCTATGGCTATCAAGCGGCCTACAGGAATTCAAAAGGGCTGCATACCAGAAATATTAAAGGGAAGAGACTGTATAGGAGGTAGTCGCACAGGTTCTGGAAAAACAGTGGCATTTGCTGTTCCAATCCTACAAAAATGGGCTGAAGATCCTTTCGGGATCTTTGCTTTAGTGCTTACTCCCACGAGGTAAGACCTTGCCGTGTTGAATATGGTATCATCTGGCTGACATCACTTTTTTTAGAGAATTGGCATTACAAATTTACGAGCAATTCAAAGCGATCTCATCTCCCCAATCTCTCAAGGCTGTCCTGATAACGGGAGGCTCGGACATGCGACCCCAGGCAACGGCCCTTGCTCAACGACCACATATTGTTATCGCAACCCCTGGTAGATTGGCAGATCATATTCGAACCTCGGGCGAAGACACAATCGGTGCTTTACGTAGGGTGCGCATGGTGGTTCTTGATGAAGCGGATCGATTACTTGCATCCGGTAGCGCAGGAAGTATGCTACCAGATGTTGAAGAATGTCTATCTATCCTTCCACCTCCCGCCAAACGACAAACCTTATTGTTCACGGCTACAGTCACTCCAGAAGTGCGAGCTTTGAAGGACATGCCTCGCACACCAGGAAAGCTTCCAGTTTTTGTTTGCGAAGTGGATACACAGGCTTTGGCAATTCCACCTTCAATCGCATCTGCAGGTACCGGTAACACATCGAGAACACTATCTGCACATGTTCCTACTTACTGAGAAAATCTACCAAAATCTATCGTTATCTTTTGCAATCGAACCGCTACTGCCGATTACCTTACCCACTTATTGCGACTTCTAGATCATCGAGTCACGGCCCTCCATTCTAAACTTCCACAAAGACAAAGAATTGATAATTTGGGTCGATTCCGTGCCTCTGCGGCCAGAATTCTAGTCGCGACTGATGTAGCTGCTCGTGGTCTTGATATTCCAGAGGTGGGTTTAGTAATTAACTACGATATTCCTAGAGATCCAGATGACTATATTCATCGAGTTGGTCGTACAGCCAGAGCTGGAAGAAAAGGAGAAGCCGTTTCATTCGTAGGCCAAAGAGATGTACAGTTGATACAGGCCATTGAGAGTAGAGTAGGAAGACAGATGGAAGCTTGGGCCGAAGATGGCGTAAATCTGGAAACGAGAGTAATCAGAGAATCGCTGAAGTTAGTAGGAGAGAAGAAACGTGAAGCTATGTTAGAAATTGAGGAAGGAAGGGAAGTTGGTGGAAAGCGAAAGAGGGGCATGAAAAAGCTGAGTTGAATTAAAAGAGAGCAATGATACCCAAATACAATATTTTTATCTACACGGAAAGACAATGTTTCATGGCCCGCCGGAAAATCACCGTGTGGAAGTTTTGCGGAAGGTTTTGTATACTGGATATGTTGTTTCCTATACTAGGTTTTGTTCGTCATTCAATTTATTCCAGTCATTCATCCTGTTCTAGTTGTTTGTCCTGTTCTTATTGTTTATCCTGGTTTTATTGTTTACCCTATGCTTATCATTTGTTCTACTCTCATTGTTCAATAACTATTTGAGGGTTACATTGCAGCCGCCATTCCGCTCGGATGCCAGCTACAGCCCATGCAACTAACTATATGCAGCAGGAGCGATCCTGGTGATGTAGTACATGGATGCGGGGGATGTTCAGCTGAAGAGTTGCTTAGCTCATCGCTAGTCTTTCTTGAACAAATCTTGTTTCGTTTCTTCTCATCTCGTTAATCTTGTCTCTCAAATACTCGACAAAGTTTATCCCAAAATGTCCTCCTCAAGTATTTCGCAGAAAAAATTGGCTGATAGTTTATCTATTGCCGAGAAACTGGATGTTGTGCTAGCATACACAAGTATCTGTATGCAACCCCTTCATTTTCTCGAATGCTTCCTTTCTTATGTACCAGAACATTCTAAACTTGGACTAATCAAAGAAACCCGAAATAGTAGGAAACACATTTTTCAGTCTCCTGACTGGTATATGGCGTACGAGAAATGAGAAGAGGGGAAGTTACAAAAGATATGTCCTTCTTACAGCTGTGAGGACTATGTGTAGGAGAATGAGTCCTAGGCAAATTTTGTGAGTTGTCTTTGAAGATGGCTGGGGAAATTGCGGACTTACATGAGGTGTTCACTAGAACACCTTGTTTTAAGTTCTTTGGTGGTCTTTATTTCAGTTCGCTATCGAGTTGCCATAATGAATAGTGAGGGTAGAAGCTTGGCATCACATGCTAATGAATAAGATATGTCAATCCAAACACAGATCATGCATACGAAACCGTCTGCAAACAGCGGGGTGTAGAACCCTTGAGCGAGACTTTGGAGGATGGAACGCAGGCGCACTGGATAGGCAAAAAAGGAGCGAAGAAAATAATTCTCAATTTCCATGGTTTGTCCAAATTTCTTCTCATTGCGTCGCATACAAGATCTGAATCGTTCGTGTCTATTAGGAGGTGGGTTTGCACTTCCTGCAAGCCCCGAAGCCGTCGAATATATGTTTAGGCTTGTGGATGGTGCGGAGAATGAGGGAAAGAGTCTGGCGGTATTGTTCCTATCTTATGGTATGCTATTTTACCTTATATCTACATGTAATTTGAGTATTGGTACGTAATACTGATAAATGCATATAGATCTTTCCCCAAGTAGGGTCTATCCTCGGCATTGGAACAAGCTGCCGCGTTGCTGAATCATGTCGTTCAAACTTTGAAGTAAGTCTACCTTTTAATTTTCTGAAACTGGGTGTCCAATAGTCCGGATTGCGTCCCAAAAATCAAAACCTTGGGAATATTTAATCCCTTTAAGCATTGAAATAGTTCTGACAATCAAATTGATTTGGAATAATGAATCTATGACATCGATGATAGTATCTTCAGAATCTCAAAGCTGAAATCTTGAATGAATTGCTGTTTGGACTATTGGAAATGCTCAAGTTTCACCATCATAAGTTCCCAAGACTAACTGGCATATCTCCAATCTTTCAGCTACGCTCCATCCTCCATAATCTTAGCTGGCGACTCTGCAGGCGCAAATCTTGTCCTCGCTCTGCTGTCTCACATCATGCATGGCCATCCAAATGACAGTATTCTCGAGTTCGTCTCTCAAAACCACTGGATGGAGCTGTGCTCTTAGCACTTGGGTTACATTTGCCACCGGCTCTCAATCATACGAGGCAAATAAGTATAAGGATCTAATTCACCCCACCTCTGTCAAAATTGTAAGTTTCCGTTCTTAAATTGCACTTCCTTCAAATTTTCTCAACCTCATCTTGACCTCATTGCCCAATTGATTCCGATATCACTTGGCTAACCTAAATCTAACGACCAAAAGTGGGCAGGCGATTATCAGGCTTCTGCTCCATCAGATAACTACATTGAACCACTCTATGCTTCCTCATCATGGTGGTCACGTCTTCCCACCGTCGTGTCATCAATTCTAATCGTAGCTGGTGAAGACGAAGCCTTTGTCGACGATGTGAAAGCCTTCGCAGACAACTTGCAAAAAGTAGGAACGGAAACAGATGGTGTGGAAATTGAGTTGTTCGTGGTGGAGATGAGTATCATGACCAACCTAATTTTGGGTTTGGAGAGGATTGTCTTGAAAAGAAGGTAGTCAAGGTGGGAGATTGGAAATTGGGTTTGGGCAAGATGTTAGATTTGAGATCATAGGGATAAATCGGGTACAGCACCGGTATGGCTACGGAGGTTGGAAATGGTTCGGGAAAGCGGAGATTCGTGGTGTTTTGCGCAATTCGGCAAACTTGATTTGGGTCTCTTCCTGGCTCCTAATGATAACAATGATTTTTGGGTTGATATTTGCTTTTATTGTACAGACGAGATCGCTGTCCGCTTTTTCTATCAAGAGTCGATTTTTTCTATTTCGAGATACTCGTTGCACAACATCTTCACAGCCCAAGTTTAATATCTCCGATTTTATGCGCATTTTATATCTTTTCTTTGTGGCGAGCTTGTTTGCTATAGGGTTTCAAAGACATCATCCGAATTGACACATGCTACATCCTCTACTTGAATGTGACGTCTTGAGCCGATAAGCAGGAAAATATACGTCGCAGAAATCTTTAGTACAAAGGCGCAATGAGTCTCCCAATATCATATTTATATCTGCTCACCTTTGCTATCAACATATATCCCAATACCCAGCATCATCTTCAACCAATATGTATTCGTTTAGCGGAGTTAGCAAGGAGATGGCTTCTGGTGGCTCGGAGGTCGTCGAATTGACTGGCTTGAATGCGCTAAACAGGATATGGCCACAGAACTCACGCGCGTGAGAAGCTGGGATGATGGGGCTGGCCACCCTGTTGTTTTGCCATTTTTTTTGGGTGGTGATGATCTTAGGTTTCTGGGGTTCGATTTTTGATTTTTTGAGGGGCGGGGAGAGGTTGGAGATTGAGCGACGATGAGGTGGTGGACCCACTTGTTTGATGAGGGAAAAATGAGGGGGGAATTTTGAGAGTGAATATTGGGTGGTGAATGACGTGGGGCAAAATTAGAGCTAGTAGAGTTTATTGTTAACTCTCGTATTTAGACTGGCGCAATATAGATCGGTGCATGCACGCAGTTTTTGGTGGAAGTATCACTACAAAATGGAGAATGAGATATCAGTGTGAATGCGCAAGCTCAGCTCAATTAATAAACTCTAGACTAAACTTAAGAAGACTGATCCTCTTAGATCTTCCTTGCCATAATATAATAATGCATCTCATCATCGGAAGCAATGCCTGCACTGGGCCGTGGCGTGAATAAATCACTCTTCGTGTGAATTATCTCAAAACCAGCGGCCTCAATCAGGCCTTTCCAACCCTGCTTTGTGAATGCTGTCATGGAAGAACACTTTGATCCCATGAACATCATTTCAACACCCGTGGCGCACAATCCATCCGCATCATACATCGAAGGTGTTGTTCTGAAGTCTTCGGCGCAGATGGTGCCGATACACAAGAGTCCGTTTGGTTTTAACCAACTGAACATCTTTGAGGCCATTGTAGTCATCTCTTCGCGAGACAAGCAGAAGAGCGAGAAGATGGTAAAGATGACGTCAAAGTCAGGAGTGTTGTTCTGGAATTGAGGGGTATGATACAACATGTCCGCTTGTGTGAATGAGCCGTGGGAACGCATTTCATGGATAGATCGACCATGGCGCCGGATAGGTCGAGACCATGAACATTATGACCATGGGCTGCCATCGTGTATGAGACTGGCTTGCCAGTTCCACAGCCAATATCGAGAACTTTTGAGTTGTTGGGTAGTTCCAGAAGGGTTCTTTCAATGAATACTCGGAGACCGATGTCGTGGGAAAAAGCACCCTCATAGGTTCTAGCAAGATGATCGTAGTACTCGACAGAAGGAAATTCCCCTTTTCCTGGCGCCAGTGGACATGGCTAGAAGGAGCAGCCTTGGCTTCGCCAACAACTGCTGAAAGGAAGTTGGACTCGTCGATGATAGCCGAAGGAACATTTGGGTGATAATATTTTCTGATTATTTCTAGGTGTTGGATGCTGGGTGTTGGTAGCAACTTAGATGTTGAAGGATGAGCACTTGTGTTTGTTTTTATGTGCATTTGTTCATGATTGATTGTAAACTGTAGAGTTAACGACCGCATTTGAAAATGTCGAGACCTCGTGCCTTCCTTGTGTGTACGGTAGAATATTAAGACTTCGCAACTTCCTTGTACGGCACCTCTGTCACTTGATTGTACGTCTTCCAAAGGAGATATTGGAACATCAAAACTCACAAACTAGATTGACAAGATTAAACGGTAGAGTGTCGATAGAAACAATGTTTTTCACTTCAAGTTGCCATACGATGATGAATAAAGAGTCCATCAAGCATTGAGACGCCGACATAGAACGTGGTGCCCAAGATCTTCATGCATTTCGGGTGGTTCCATAGGAGAAACAATTTACCTGAATTTTAGAAGTATGAAAGGCATATAAAAATACGGACATCAATATGCGACTGACTAAGTTGGACAATGTCCCTAAAATTCACCCTCCTAGCTAGTTAGTGAATTAGTTACGATTGGAACCAAGGGCTTCCAGAACAACGAAGCGCAAAAGGCCACATGGCAAACCACTTCATATGCACGACTCGCAATCATAAATTATGTAACTTGCACAGTGATGATACATCTTGACAGATGAAGTTGGATATTACGAGAAGTGTGGACGGAATGAAGATAGGGATATTCGCTAAGCTATGACTAGTTTCAAGGTAGATCAGCGCCAGCCCTGAAGTGCATGCATTTCACCGACATGAAATGACGATCTCTGGCGTGTCGAACATTCTTCTGATGGAATACAATTTTGCGATTGCCTCTATCGCTGCTGTACCACATCGGATGTGCGTGGAAGTACGAGCGTAATATATTTTCTCGGGTACCCCTCAATCTCTAGCAAACTGCATTGCAAATGCATGAAAACAACGCAGATCTAGTTTGCACATAGCAGACTTGCTATATATGATGCCAAAGCCATTGGGGGGGCTGGAAAGGATGACACGCGTGTGAGATGTAGATTCAAGCTCATTCTCTTAATACAAATGCGAGAGACCGCAGACTGGAAAGTCCATGTAAGTCCACATATGCTGCTATAACTCTACACTTTGCAGTAAGGCATGCCTTGACAGCGTTGATATGGTGTGGTCTGAGTCTCTCAAACACATAAGATGGTCGCAATGAGGGTATAGACTCAGACAAACGCTTCAGGTTGGTGACGACGAAATTTTGAGCATCACGATGCCAAAGTTATTAACAGATAGCGACATTCTGAGTGTTCACACCTATCTCGATTAAGTGAATCCCACGGCCGTGGTTGATGCATATTCCGAAGGAAGGCCTGTATTGTAATTGTAAAGGTGTTACAATCAGTGATTTGATACTAGCCTGGTGACCTTATGCATATTGAAGACGGGAAGCAAAAGCTCCGTCATTTGCTGGAAGTACAACATAGAGCAACAGTGTCATTTAACCGTCATCTATTTATATACTATCAAACTTCGAGCCGTACTTTGTGTTTTGTGTGGCTTGTTATCCATGTAAGTGATGTCACAAGTGCGCTTCAACAAGCGCTACATGTCGTACATCTATGCGTGTCATCGCAGAGGCAACATTGCTACATTAATATCTAGAAACTCACTGCACGATTAGTTTGACAACGGGAAATCGTTCGTCGGTTGCAGCTAAGGACGCCGTGTCACTCTCAGCGTTTTCGATGCAGTTGTATCGTTGCCTTTCGAAATACCCCAAGTCTCAATTGACCATGCGCCATGAAGTTGGTGTGTACCTGGAGGGAGATCTGGTACGCGCATGCCAGGACAACGCCTGCAACCGGAATGCCGGAGTTTACAATCCTAGGTATGCATACGAAGGCGCTTCTCACTTTCCTGTAGACAATATCCAACTTCATCGTCAACGCTACTTTCGTTTGTGCCAAAAACTCAATCCATCGATAAACTCAACTTCCTATATTACCGGGCCATCAATTAATTTACTCTTTCTCTTCGCAAGATTGTACAGACATATCATCTGGAGAATTGTGTGTTTACAGGCCAACACATATTCACTATTCAGACTGTTCATCTTGATGATCCGAGTGTTAATATTTCCAGAGTCGTGGCATTTTGTTGCGCGTCAAACATGACCCAAGTTTGTTAAGCCGTCGATAGTGTTCTAGCATATATGAATGCTTGTTGTGCTCAGCGCCTTCCTCCACAACCTTTAAATCACCTGATCCTGATGGATATGCGGCGCACGTACCATTAAGCCCCCACCTTCTGTTACCCGTAGGAGGGAGATCAAACGCGCCAGCTGATGGATACAAACGAAACATCGCCAGGATTATTATTGGATACAACTCATCCGATCTATTACGTGCTCGAACTTTGTAATTCCTCATGAGACCTGTGCGCTTACCCCGAGCCCCGACTGCCTGAAACTGTACTGCTTTAGACATACACTTTCCTTTTACTTCCATTTCAAGCCGTCTTGTTCATCCTCACGCCTTCTCTTGAAGTTATTGCGTTTCCAAATCGACAAATACGATACAGACTTTTACTGGTGTTTGATTTCCTAGCGAATTCTCGTTTCGATGAACCAGCTAGTTTACAGGAGTCTACAATGAAGACGTTTCAAGATTTCGATGTTGATGATCCCAAGGTGGAGGAAAGAAGAAGTCTTCTTCCTAAAACCATTAGACGAGTTGAGAACGTGAAGGTTATTAGAGTTCCCTCGAAATGGCCAGGCCTTACTATTGCTACCATTTTGTTTGTCTGGTGGACATGGGTTGTCATATCAGATTTAGTTTGGTCTGAGGAACCAATATCTGATATTCGTGGGAACAAGTACTATGAGTTTGATGAGGTCTAGAATTTCCTCTCGTGGTTTACGGACTCAGGTATCTGACATGTTTACAGATAATACCGAGTGAAAAACTTAAATGGTACCCATGTTTTGACGTTCCTGGATCGAGGTTCAAATGTGCAAGACTCACAGTTCTATGGACTATCATCGGCCTCTTAATGAATCGGATGATAACCCTAAAGTACATATTGCGTTAATTCTAATACCTGGAACCATACCGGAGATAAATTCTCTGAATCGCCGTTACTCCTGAATCCAGGTGGCCCCGGAGGCTCTGGTACATTGTTTGGTTTAGCAGCTGGATCGTTGATTCAAAATATTGTTGGTGGCGATCAAGATGTGATTGGATTTGATCCTCGAGGTATTGGAGCAACGACACCACGAGCCGATTGTTTCTCGTATGGAGGGACATACGATGGAGTGGGAGATGATCAGGCACGAGGAGATTACCACAGGCTACTCTTCAACACCGCGGGCCAAGCAATCGGTCTGGCTAATACGAGTTCAACAGCATTGAGACATCTTAACGCACGTGCAAAAGCTATGGCAAATTGTGCGCGGAGAAGGATTCTCTGAGTGGACAAACCAGTATTTTTCGACATGCGGGAACACCAAGTGTTGCAAGAGATATGATTAGTATCATAGATGCGTGGGATGATTGGACCTCGAGTATAAAAGAAGAATCGGCATACTCTGATATTGCCGATACTGATCTTCCTAATGAAAGAGAGCCAGAAAATGAATTCGAAGATGCATATCTAGAAACAAAGGGTAAATTAGTGTATTGGGGTTTCAGTTACGGGGTATGTATTTTCAACCGTCTCGTGATAATTACTGAATTCTCTAGACACTTCTTGGATCTACCTTCGCAGCAATGTTCCCGGATAGAGTAGGCCGACTTGTCCTGGATGGTGTTGTCGATGCTGATCATTATGTTGCTCCTATTGTAAGTTCAACCGGTCACTACAATCTTTTGCTTTTACTATCTGATCCTGATCCCTGATCTCAAATTTCACTTTTATGTTTTATGACGTGTACTTTTTGGGATCCTGATATAAATTCTATACCTCGCTTTCTCTCATTCTGCTTCAGAAGCCATTCTGTGATAAGCGATACTGACTCCTCAATTTTGCAGTGGCTCGAGAGTCAACGAGATGCGGACAAGGTGTGGTCGTCTTTTTTCAAATACTGCCACGAGGCGAAGTCTGCGTGTCAATTCTACAGGGAGAATGACAAGGTAAAAGATATCGAGGAGAGGTTTGAGTCTTTTATGGAGAGACTGAAAGAGAACCCGATACCTGTTGTTTCAAAGGACATCCTAGCACCCTTTCTCGTGACCTATTCAGACGTCAAATATCAAATTTTCCTGACGCTCTACGCTCCCCTGTACGGTTTCCGAGCTGCCGCTGAATTGCTTGATGCCCTGGAACGCAATCTCGAAGGTTGGTTTGAGCTTGTTCCAACACCTCCGTCGTACGATCTCGAGCTCGTTTGTAACCATTCTCTGCCAAAGTGGAGTTATTACGATGATGCGCAAAGAGTCATTCTTTGCAGTGACAAGAAGTACCCAGTAAGCATATTACTGCACGAATTATTTTTGGAGTTCTAACTTGTTTTCATAGCTCAACCACACATACTCTGAGATTGAGAGCATGTTCGAAGACATGGAAGCCCAATCAGTATTTGCGGATGCATGGATGTCGCTCATGATACAATGTTCTGGATATGATATCCAAAGTATTGATCCCCCATGCGATGGGATGACCATCCAGCACATAGGCAGAAGCCAATCAAAACTGCATTTCCACTGCTTTATATTAGCAACAGGGCAGACCCTGTTACACCATTATTCGCAGGAGTAAAGATGGCCACAAAGTTCGTGGACGCGGGCTTCTTTGAACAAGAATCCGAAGGACATTGCACTATAGCTGTGAAATCCAGATGTACCATTGAGAAAGTCAGGGCGTACTTTCGTGAGGGAAAAGTGCCCGATGCTCCTAGGTTCAGAGGAGAGGGATCAGATTTGCTTGATGAGGAGTGGGAAAAGTGCCCCGCCGATGAATGGCCATGGCACGAATATCAACCAAGTGCTCTTGTAGCAAACGAGGTAGAGGCAGCAGAATTGGAGCGATTAGATGCATGGGGTGGTATCCGGGACGCTTTTACCAAATTGATCTTTGGGGTGCGAGGGAGTTCAGAAGATTTGGCATTGCCTTGTGATTTAGCATATATTGATATATTAGCATAGCGGGAGTTGGGAGTTCGGTGGGATAGGCATATAGATGCTGGTTGAAGAGCAGCTCGCCCTTCGTTTATTTTAGTAGAACTGCCTGAATAACTATTGCACGCCCGAATTCTTGGTGTCTTTTCGATCTCAACAACAATCCAGATATTGAAAAGCTATGTGCGGAGTGGATCTGCAACCACTAATCCGAATCTCATAATTGGTGGAAACTTGATGTAATGTCACGTATGTATTTATAGAGTGAGGTTCTTGAGGGTTGTCATTATCAAGCAAATAGGAAGGAAGAGGTAGGAACAGAAGACAGAAGTCCATTGTATATATTGTTCAAATTAGAATAAACTTCTAAACCATGTTACTCTATATCTATCTAGGTAGCTTTGTTCATTCATGTTTGTAGTACTGAAGTCATTTTAGATCCTCGCACAGACCAACTTCACACTCCACTACGGCGACCTAGATGGTCCAAAAATATTTCGAGATGGAACCAAAATATTGTCAGTGGCACCAGTGTTTGTAAATCCCACTCAAAACACTCTTTTTTCTTTCTTTCCTCTAAATCTCACATTCAAAATGCCGGCGTTTGCGAGATCAATTACTCCTTTCTTCCAGACAGCACGATCTGCGCTGCGTCAGGGTAATGCTGTCAGTCCTTTACAGCATGCTTTGAGAAGACAAAATGGAGCTGCTGTGATCAATGCTGCTCGCTCATATGCTACCGCTTTCGAGCGCTCGAAGCCGCATGTTAATATTGGTATGGCGTCTGTTTCTATATGTATGCCACCGGGCGTTTGCTAATCTTCTATAGGTACAATTGGTCACGTCGATCACGGAAAGGTACATCATATCAATCTCGAAAGCCCCGCAGAGGCAAATAAATGCTAATTAGATCATGATTGTATAGACCACATTGACTGCCGCTATTACCAAGAGACAAGCAGAGAAGGGAATGGCCAGTTTCCTCGATTACGGTGCCATTGACAAGGCTCCCGAAGAGCGAAAGCGTGGTATTACCATCTCGACTGCCCACATCGAATATGCCACTGAAGCCCGCCACTACTCCCACGTCGACTGTCCCGGTCACGCAGATTACATCAAGAACATGATTACTGGAGCTGCCAACATGGATGGAGCTGTTATTGTCGTTGCTGCTTCTGACGGACAAATGCCTCAAACCCGTGAGCATCTTTTGCTTGCCCGTCAAGTCGGTGTTCAAAAGATTGTCGTTTTCGTCAACAAGGTCGATGCTCTTGAGGACCCTGAGATGTTGGAGTTGGTCGAGATGGAGATGCGTGATCTCCTCAGCACATACGGATTTGAAGGAGAAGAGACACCTATCATTCTTGGATCTGCCCTTTGCGCACTCGAGGGCCGCAGACCGGAAATTGGAACCGAGAAGATCGACGAGTTGATGAACGCAGTTGATACCTGGATCCCAACCCCACAACGTGACCTCGACAAGCCTTTCCTTATGTCCGTTGAGGATGTTTTCTCCATCCCAGGTCGTGGAACTGTCGCCTCTGGTCGTGTCGAACGTGGTGTCCTCAAGAAGGATTCCGAAGTCGAGATTGTTGGAAAGGGAGACCAAGTCATCAAGACCAAGGTCACTGATATCGAGACTTTCAAGAAGTCCTGCGACGAATCCCGTGCAGGAGACAACTCCGGTCTTTTGCTCCGTGGTATCAAGCGTGAAGATGTCCGACGTGGAATGGTCATTTCCGCCCCAGGACACACCAAGGCCCACACCAAATTCCTCGTCTCCATGTACGTTCTCACCAAGGAAGAAGGAGGACGCCACACCGGTTTCCACCAAAACTACCGCCCACAAATCTTCATCAGAACTGCTGATGAAGCTGCTGCTCTCCACTTCCCCGACGGAACTGAAGACGCCGATTCCAAGATGGTCATGCCAGGTGACAATGTCGAGATGCAATGTGAGATTGAGAAGCCTTGCGCTTTGGACGTTGGTCAGCGTTTCAACATTCGTGAGGGAGGACGAACCGTCGCCACTGGATTGGTTACCAGAATCATCAAGTAAATCATTTAATGCATTAAGACAGTAGAGAAGGGCTAAAATGGGATGACGTATAACGTGTATGAAACGGAAGGGGAAAAATACAACGCAAACGCATCGTATAAAATGAACGTCCAATGAAAACGAAAGGGAAAGGTGGAAAATTGGGATGGGAAAGAAAGGAAGATTATGAAGAAATGGATCTTTTATTGTATACTTGAATAGCGAGAAAGGAGTTCGTTATTCAATGTTACATATGTAAATTTAGAACCCTTTCTTTGTAGATTACAGCAACAGCTGGGTGGCTTTTTAGCGGAAATGAAAGATAGAACTCCTCTCATTTCTGCCTTAAGTGGTGGTTTCTTTTGATGCACCAACTGTTTACTCACAATATCTGACACATGTATAGCACGCCATTTGAGAATGTAATTGATTCGCACGGAGCTATCTAGCTTAAGAACGGATTCATACTGAACTCCACTATTTAAAACCAACCGCCTTTGCTTCATGTTCGCTCACTTCGTATGCATTGCAAGTCCTGTATGCAAGCCTCTTTACTTTTGTAAAACCATATACGTAACAATACCAATGTCATTCGTCGCTATCTTTATCACATTCGTCTTCATAATCATTCATATCATCATCATTATTAGTCAAATTTACGCCTCCGCTCCGCTAAAAAGAATTCAATCTTTTTTCTCTTCCCTCAGTGATTTCAACTGCGCTTCGAAATCCTTCTCTACCCATTCAAAATAGGTTCTCCATGTCTGATGTTGGCTGCTTTGCGCACCCATGCCTGTGCTCGCTGATGGAATTCGAGCATGCAGATTCAGCGTTGAGCGAAGAGTACTCTTGGTTGCATCATCTTGCTTCTCGATTTCTTGCTTGACAGCTGATTCCTTCAATTTGACCGACAGAGTAACGCGGAAGCAATCTGCAATCGCGTCGAGGCGTCGAGCCGTCTCATCAGGATCCAGGATGACCAACTTATTCAACATCAGATTGCAGAGAGATCGGATGTCGTGCTCATCTTTCAAACCGGCGATAATACGATCGTAAAAATCAAGTATGTTTATACGTGAGAACGCGGTCTCCATAAGAGCATACAAAGTTTCATATGCACTCTATAACCTAGATTAGCGATGCATCACTAAAATTACAAAGAGTATCTTACCTTTCGGACCTCTAGACCATCATCGACCTTATGCTTGAAAGGACCCATCATTACCTCATGAATCAACTCTTCCTTTATTACCGATTCACTCATAACAAATGGAAGTAACTGGTTGAGATTAGGGTTGATGAGATCTGCTTTGTTGTGCGCAGCAGCATTCAATGTAGTCAGTGCCAATCGACGGTTCTCCAACTCGGTATCAGTCAGCATGACCTTCAGCATATCAATCAACATGATCTTTAGCACTGAATCGAGTGAGTCGTCACAATCAGATAAGGTATAACGGATAGCTTGAATAACCATAGCTCTAATTGAAGCATTTGGGTCGGAGAGATAGCCCTGTAAAAACATTAGCGGATGCAAATTCAACATCTTCCAATCACAACAAACCTTTAATTGTGGCATAAATGCCTTGGGATCAATCATTGTCAAACGACCAATGCACTCTGCGCCAACAGCTTTGTTGTCCTCAGCTTGCGAAGCGGCAAGCAATCTTTCCCAGAGAGTAGTGGTGTGCTGGGTGATGGCAGTGGGGTTGTTGCCAGCTTGCTGAAGTATTTCCTTGATAGAATGTAGAAGTAAAAATTCATCTCCACCTTTAATCATATTCAATATCTCTGAGAGATACAAAGGTGTGTCTCCAGCTCCCGCGCGTCCTAATGCGATTGCTGCAGCAAGAGGAACTTTGTCATAAGAGGATTTAAAATGAGCTGTGAAGGTGGATGGATTCAATGGCGATTTTGCCCCCAATTGTAATCCAGCTTCCCCGAGAACAGCCAAGGCTAAGCATTGTCTAGCTTCATCCGAGGAGGGGTTTTGTAATTCGGTCAAGAAGTTGTCAAGTGTAACTCCGACTGAGGATCCTCCGAATACCAAAAGCGTTCCGATAGCTTTTCCTACAACTGTAGAGTCCCCACTAGTACTAACGTCTCTCAATAAACCAGACATCAAAGGTTGACCAACTCCTTGCTTGCCGATATTGGCGACCAAGAGAAGGACAGCGTCAAGTACAGCGCCACTTAATGACGAGGTTAATAACCCGCAAAGAGCAAGATTTAGCTGGTCTGTAACAACAAGCTTTGCTTCATCCATCACCAAAGTAGCCAGTACTAGTAGTGCCGGACCTAGAAGATGAAGATCAACTGTGGTTAAGAGCGGAAGAAGTGCGTCGATAAGGCCTTGAACAGTCGGAGCGTCGAGAGAGCTTCTAGCTGCCGGAGAAACAATGAGATTCTTCAGAGCTCCAAGACTTGCACCGCGAAGCGATCTGTTGGCCTTTCGGAGTTGTGCAGCAAGCTCTAGAGAGACATCTCGAATCCATGGTGGCTGCAGTTGGCCTTTAGTGGTTGGACCAACCTCAATTGAACCGACCGCAATAGTATCGATAGCTCTTACAGCAGCGAGGCGAGTGGTTTCGTTCTTTAGTCTATCACTAAGCAGAGTGAGAGCAGAACTTCGGTTAGTTTCTGAGAGAAGCGATAAGCCCTCGGGACTTGCTGTGCGAGCAAGCATGATACCTAGAGCATGTATAGCACGTTGACGAACTTCAACATCTGCATCGGTAGCGGATACACGATCGACTATCACTTGATATAATTTCAAAATATCTTCTTGCTGAGTTGACTTCGCCGGCTTCGATCTCGGAGGTGTCAAAGCCTTTACGAGTTGTTCGGCTGTACCGACAGCCTCACCAGAAATCTTGTAAAACCTATCATGTACAGCTGACGCTACACATGGAATGATTTTAGGCAGGTGTGGCTGTAATACGCTCGAAGAATGAGTTTGCGCAACATCACCCAATAACTTGAGAGCAGCAAT